ATGATTTTCCGTCATTTTTTTAATAACCTTAATATGTTATACGTCAAGTAAATATGATTTGTTAGTACTTAAATTAATTTACGATTACAAGTGTATATAACTTTTTAAATAAATAATTAATGGAATATTGATGTATAACTTGTTTACTTATTATAATATATGACATGGTGGCATTTCATTATGAAATATTTCATAAAATGAAACTCCTTGTAAGAAGTGTTTAGCAAAAATTGGCACAACATTTCAGTTAGTTTAGGTTTAGCTCTCATTAAAACTCTTGAGGTTTCTGAGATATTACAAAAATATGTCTACGTTTTTATCTTCTTGAAATCCTAAACTTAGAATTCATTGCTTTTCTGGATCTTTATAAATCATTATCAAGCCAATTATTTCAACTTGAGTTAAAACGTAAAAATCTAACTGAATACGTCGAGTCTTTTTAAAAAGCGAAAAGATATGAATACATCAAAGAAATGGGAAATTTATTAATGAAATAAGACTAAAAAATAATGATATTTACTTATTTAATGTTTTATGTTATTCGCAACTAGTACATAAGAGCAAGTAGTATGTAAGACAGTACCTTAGGTAGGTACTATAAAATTAGTTACCAAAAAAAAAATAAATATCCCTTTAATTACGTACAAAAAACACAACCTTCAATTTCAACATTGCTACATTTTACGGTTTACTGGGAGTACGATCGTTTTTTGAGGACGCATTTTGCGTTACATACGTTCTCATAGTCCGCTTGACATAATATATATATTGCGTCCTCAAAGAATTCCGGCACTTACCTTCTTGACCCAGATTTAAAAGAGAATACCTTCAAACAATCACCGTTACTGTGAACGGGGTACTCCCCCGTTTGTTCCGGTCAGCAGATGATGTAAATAACCTTTGCAATTAGCAGCGAGGAAAAAATATTAAGTATTTATTGTGCAATATTTTTATAGCGATTGAGTTAGAAACCTGTTCGAGTTGGCTTGTTTTGATAATTTACATTTGAAAGAAATTCGGTTACGCTAAAAATAATATGTGCGTACGCTCAAATACTCAAATAGTAGATATTATTATAGCTGTAGGTCCTTCGTCCATGTTTAAATTAAAAAACCTTTGAGTCCAAGTCACATTAAATCTAGACTAATACGGCTACAGATGAAGACGGAAGTTTGAATCCCTATTAGAAATATTAGTACCTAACGCCTTTGGTTTTTATTCAGTTCAAGTTAAATAAGTTGTTAAGTATACGGCTTTAATATTGTATAATTCGCATAGATGACGCTTCGGAGATATCTTAAATTCTATTTTACATAGAGTCTATGCTCTTTTTATCATATTTTAAACAAGCTTTCCGAGTAAGGAAATAAAGTAAGGATTTTAGCAAGACCTAGATGTCAAAATTCATGATATAAAAGTCAGGCATGCATCTCAGGCAAGCAACTCAGTTTACCAACTTTAGGAGCAGTACTTTTTTGGTTTTATTTTTTTTTTTTTTTTTTTTTTTTTTTTTTTTTTTTTTTTTTTTAACTATGGTTTTTGTGAACCACACTACTTTTATAATTCAAAGTACTTTACACAGTATATCACTTGTTGTAATTCAAAGTACCTTTAGTAATCCACAGTATTAAAAATCCCCGGCTGTAATGGGAAACTAATCGGTGTTATATTCCACAAAACGCCACACAATAGTTCTAAATGTTGAGTGGTTATTTTCCTAATAACTTCGGTTAGTAATACGGTGACCGTGCTACAGCAAATTTGGCGGATAAGTTTTTAACTACTTGTAAAACGAATATAGTGTGCTTTAAACAGAATTTTTGATTACGATTGTATATATAAGAAATATTGCAGGCAATACTGAATCACGTTTTATGTGTTGCTATAACAAAAAAATAATATAACTTTTTTAAAAGTCTTGAAGTTTAATGGCGTTTCGCTTTCAGTCTGTGGGATTCTGAAAATAAAAGATCGACAGCGCATAATGTTAAAATGTTATATATGTAGGGTATTCCATCTTTCATCAAGTGACACCAATCTTGTCCTTTATCATAAAAAAAAGTATTTAATTTCTTGTAATTTTAATTTAGACATGCAAATTAATCAAATTGCTACAACTTTCTGTAACAAAAACGATACGATAACACGTGAATTACGGTACTGTCCCATTTTGACGTGAACGGTGAATTTGACGTTTTATCACGTTATCAGTCATATGCAAAACGATCAATAACATATATCTTATCAAATAGTTTCCATTGTTTATCAACTGAGTTTAAAATGCTCTATATGATAAATTCGCTGTGTCGGCGACATTTTTCAAACCCCTTCGTCTTTACAAACTTAAACTGTTATCCACGACGTCGGTCGCGTTGCTCTTGCATGTTAAATGTAAAATATAGACATATAGCGTCGCGGACTTTTTTTAGATTATTTGAAGAGGTATCATTCTTTCATAATTTTTTTTTGGGTATCTTGAACCGTTTTTGCAGCGTACGCCTCGAAAACCGATAATGATGAATAATTTTTCCAAAATTTTTCACGTTTCTCACTGTTTCTTCGCTTGTATTAGATACAGGATGATGTTTCATAGCCTATAACCTTCCTCGATAAATTCTCTAACTAACACAAATAATTTTTCAACTCTAACCCGTAGTTCCTGAGATTAGCGCGTTCAAACAAACAAACAAAAGCTTTATATATTGTAAGGATGTCAATCTATTTTTCCGTAACATGGTGTTTGAAGTACATCACTTTTTACAAGAAAACAAGTTCATTGATTAATTGTAATAATTTGCGGTAGTCTTATAAAATACAATAATAGGAATGCGTTGGCAATAAAAAGCGATACTATTGTTTTCCATACAATCAATTTGTATCGGCATAACTGACCGACTATATCAGTAACCCTGGAAGGTTTTCAATATCAAAGATCAACGACCACTTTAATAACAATATTTATTTAGCTTCTTATATTTAAAAGAACTGTATTATATACTCTACTTATACTTCTCTTTTTATTTCTTTTCTCCTGAAGTTCGGGTTGCCTTGAAGAGATCGCTGCTTAGTGATAAGCCCGCCATTTATTTTTAAGTTAGTACGTAGGATGTTTTCTCTTTTTATATGTGTTTCTTTTTGCAGTATGGGTTATAAATAATATTATAAGAGTAATATTTTTATGTTGATACAACTCTTACAAATGATGGGTAATCAATAATAATGCATTTATTTGAACGAATATTGATTACCATAAAACAGTTCTTGCAAGTGAATCAAAATTAAAAAAATAAGGATTTAAAGACCAGTCATTCTTTTAAACATGTTGAAACTCTGTCCGACGTTAAAAGTCTCCCCGTAACCACGGCTGCTGCAAAGCATCCGAAACGTCGGGCCGAAGTTAAAAATCATTTTCAAATAAGTTTAACTAATATATCGCGTTTTAAACCGTTAAAATGTTTTATTTAAATGTTGAAACTCTCAAATTTCCACATTTTCCAATGTCTCTTCGCTCCTAATATGTGATGTTATACAACCCTTCCTCGATAAATGGGTTATCCAATACAAAGGAGAGTTCAATTAAAAACGTTAGTTCTTGAGATTAGGGTGTTCAAACAAACAAATGAACTCTTCAGCTATAAAGCTAAAGAGATTTATTTTATTTCATTTATTTATTTTATTTAATAAAAATTTAATGTTAGTATAGATAAACAACTTCACATGAGCCGGCATGCGTCTTATCGCTCTACAAATTTTATGTGTTTGTTTTCCCTTTTAAGGAGATGCCAAAGCACCAGTTGGCTTTTCTATGAATAACAGTGATAAGATAATAGTCTTAGTAACTACTAAATAAGTGTTATCCTGTTTCTTTGCCCCCGCAAGTGACTCGTCTGGGGTAAGTATGTCTTTATAAGTTTGCGTATTTGGTATACAATTTCAATAAAATACTTGTAACGGTTAAGAACACGAAATGTATTAGTTATCTTGTGTAGAATTTTTTTTTAAATTTGGGACACCTCCCATCTTCAGTCCCCCCCGTGAGTAAGACTGCTGCAGTGCATCCGAAAGAATCGTCGGGGCGTAGTTAGTAATTAATGAGTAACTATTTTTCGCGTTTAAACTGTTCAAGGTTAAGGTTATTTTAATGTGTTTTACTTGCGTAAGCTTATGTTTGAATTGTTAAAAAAAATAAAAGTATCAACTATAGTTTTCTATGTGCGTTTCTATTTTAGAATACAATGAATGAGTTTTTGTTGTTTAAGTTCGATTTAGTCCTGGTTAAATATAGCATAGTAAACATTGTTTTTGGTACTTTACCAATAAAAGTCATGTGACATCAGAGTATACTTGTAAAGATACTTTTAAAAATGAATTGTGCAGTGTCATAGTGATATGGAAAAAGATGAGATAAGATATAAAAATGTAATTTTAAAAGTAGTATATTAACTATTTATATTATATTATGTATGTTACATATAATTTTTAAAAGTCCCTCATATTCCGATCGTGTGTGGACACTAGCCTATATTCGGTGTAATTACAGAAAATGTGTTAATAGGGATAAAATTGACTTCACTCACGTCATGTTTCTATTGTATAATGTCTTATTATCGTTCAAATGTTGTTCAAATACAATTCCTATTATTATAAAAAAAAATACAGATTGACAAGGCTTTAGTTCCTACCAACATTCATTTAGTCGTGAGAGCTATGTATAGAACTAACTGATAATAAGTATGTACCAATAATTGGAATGTGTTCCTAAGTTCCTTTCAAACCGGATCACCTACGCTACGATCTTGTCCAATGTCATGCGCTTAGAAATCTAACCTCTAACACAAGGTATTTAAAGACTATACGGGTGTAAAAAACCCTATACATTATACATCTCAAAGCATTTATTGAACGGTCACAAAAACACAGAGGTCGTCAACCTTCCGGGCAGCGGTAGTCCCAACGCGGACTTCATTAGTATCTTGAACCTTTATTTGCGTCCCCTGTGTTCAGCGCATGACGAACGTGAAGATGGATTCTATGACGTCGTCCAGGTCTTTACTGAACGGGGATAGCTGAGCTTCGTAGTTCGACAGCCTCTTCTCCTTCCCCCCAACCACGAGATGGCAGTTCGGTCCCACTATTGACACGTTGTCGCCCTTCTGTCGTGTCTCAATCATGATGTTCCCTCCGTTGCCGACTAAGTTAACAGTCCCGTAGTTGTATTTGATCTCCACTCGGCAGTCGTTGCCGATCACTTCTATATCACCTTGGTTGTTCTGCACTCGAATTATGCAATTGTTACCGACCACTTTTAGACGCGATATATTCGTCTCCATTGTCACTTTCTTTTTGTTACCGATGACCGAGTATATCTTCATGTTTATTTATTAATATTTGGAACGTCTTACGAACGCGAGCGTTTGTGAGTGTATGGATTTAAATATGGAACGCGCGTCGTATTTATTGCGGCGTCCGCGCACTCGGTTCGATAAGGGAACTCCCTGCGCTATGCGTCACTCATTGATCGAATCTCGGACCTGTAGGATACACGTGGTAACGATTACGTATCATTACTGAGATATTCTTGATTCAAAATTATATTACGTAACGTAATGTTGGAATATAATTATTATTTATTCCTTATTTTGAATGCCTCCGTAGTTAATTTACAAACGCTTAGTGGCTTAGTTTCTAACTGTGATAAGAAGAGGACGTATAAGGCTATACACAAATCTAAGTACTTCTATATATTCTACATAACTACTATTTCAAATAAAAAGTCGACCTTTTACCACAAAAATTATTACCTTTTTTTGGCAGACGAGCGGGCGGTTCACTTCATGGAAGGTGTAACCCCAGCCATATTATAACATCTCACCAAGATCGACATATTTTGATTTCGGATATTCGGAAACCACGTAACTACTATTGTCCCATGCAAACTCGCCCGGATTTTTCTATCACGAAATACTCATAAAAACTAAATTGTGCGTTTAATGTAAAAATGATCACCGTTTTCCGTTACGATTACGACATAAATATTTCTCAATCTTATCCAAAAAAAACTTTCATAAACAACCGGATAATTGTGTCTTTAACCTTTTTTTATATGACAATATACAGATAGTTAAAAAACGCAGGTAATAACGTAAAGTAAATATAGTGGAATTTTTTAAAAGGGATATTACCGCGTTTATCTTGAAAAATAATCGTAACAAACATATGACATTACCTATATTGATTACGTGTCGTGTATATTATATTGTGAAGTGATATTTTACATCAATTCAACCTATTAACTGATTATTGGTCTAGAGAACTAGACTGTAGTTTACAGAAGACCTGGTTTTGAATTGGAATTTTTTATGATAAAGGGGGATAAACAAGCATGCCGTTCATTTGATGGTAGGTGAAACACTCCAGCCATATATCCCTAACTCCAATTGCTTTGGATGTTTTGAAATAACACATACTGAACCAAATTGACGGTGGTGCGTGACCCAGACGGAATTTCAATGTTCCTACCCCCCTCTTAATTTGCAGATTTCCAGACGAAGTCCAACATGTTTCAAAAAAATTAGAAATATATTAGACAAATCTTTGACCCGTTGGGGATCGAATCTACGTCCCTCTGATTATTACGTAAAAACGTCGCCATTTATAGTTCATTGTTTTTTGAAATAAATTGTCTACTACTTGAGTTTGGAAGAAGGATATGTAAATAAAACACTTAGCTGTTTAAAACACGATATATATCAGTCTCCCCGTAATCACGGCCGCTGCGTCGAGCCGAATTAATGGAATTTACACTTTAGGTACGTTTCATTTAAATGTGTGCTACTCGCGTAAATAAAACAGGAGGATTTTTCATGGCCACCATCAAAACTTATACTAAGTACATTAATACAATTATTGCTGTCACAGTATTTTTATAACTGTGTCGGCATAGTTTTTTTAAGACAAATACCTAGTAAGTTACATCCGCGCTTTGCAGTTTTGCTTTCTAGGTTAGTGGACCACGGATTTTTTACTGCACCTGTCCCCTTATGACGAATCAACAGCCTTTTTAACCTTCACTAAAATCCATACATACATAGTCAGCGCGTGCGCATATTTTGGCGTTAACTATGAGATATTCTCTCTACAAAACATGAATAAGGATTTTTGAAAAGTATTCTTATCTAGATAAGGGTTCTTTCAATAGAAGTGGAAATGTTCAAGCCCTAAAGTATCTAATTAAGATGAGCTAAATTTTATTTGCTTTTTAATTATCTTGTCATATTTCTTATATTCTTTTATGTATGTCAGTAATACGCTATGGAATTGAGACCAAGTTAGCTGTGTTGTTGAATTGTTAATATTTACGATTATTTCCTAGAAAAAACATATTAGCTAATGCTGTACAGTATGGCATATCAAAAAGCAAGTAATGTATTTCCCTATCAACAGCAAACTGCTGTTGATAGGAAATAATAATTCAATATTGGTTTTATAAATTCGTCTAATAATAAATAAAATTTAAATTTCCTATTTACATCCTTAGCTAGATAATATATATTAGCTGGTATTCCCCTCGAAGTGTAACAAGGTATATGTTTAAACAGGTAGTAATAAGTGTCAACTTTACACTTAACTTCCTCACTATAATTTTCTTCAGACGTGCGAAAAATAAACACAGCTATTTTATATAACCTACTACTACTACGTCTAGCATTACTTTTCCTTATATTGTATTCTTATAAAACACTTTTTACGGTTTAAAACGAGAAACATATCAATTAACTTAATTTTAAATTACTTTAACTACTGCCTTATTAGTATATATTGCATTTATAGTATTAACTTTCTTGGAAATGCTAAAAATTGAAATTTTATAGCACCTAACCGTGTAGACAAAAATAAAATTAGGGATTTGCGAATTATTTTAAGGAAGGAAATTAAATTAATAAAATTCATATCCTTTATTTGGCTAGCGTTATGAATAACCTTTAGTTGTATAAGTATGTAAGAAATAAGATTTTCAAGTTGGTCAGTGCCAGCCGTGGAAACTAATAAATAACTGATGATAGTGTAATTTGTAGTAAAGAAATACATTTCCGGTCCATATCACATTGCGATGAATGTAACTCTTAGAAACCTTATCAAGATATACGTCAGAGATAGTAGGTTTCAGTACATATTTGGTAATAAACCGTTTCGGAAATTTCGTAATCTGTATGACTATGTTATATCACTTGGATGATTCGTAACAAACAAAACTAGAGGAAAACCGGAAATTGAAGTGTTAAATAACTAAACGGAAATCTTTTCACAATAAAAAAAATACATTTTTTTTTTCGAAGCAAGTTACATAAGTAAGTTAAGGGTAAGTTAGTAATAAAAATTTCCAAAATAGTTTTTTTTACTAGGGCTTTTTTTTTCAGTACTAGAAGTTAGAGCTACCGTGTGCTATAAATGCCTTGAAAACCATTTTCAGGAAAAATACTATTTCCACAAAATTGGATTTTCAAAATTCCCATTTTTATTTTGTTTTATACTTCAAAAGTTTAATACATTTTCAACCAATGAGTCATATAAGATAACAACCCTTACGTCAAAATATCTATACATCTATGACAGATCGCTCCTGAAAGATCAGTGGTAAGATAACCATGACTCACACGATACACCTTACCTAATTGATGTAATCCGTGCACTGAGAAATGCCGTGACTCACCCGCATAGCTGCAGACGATAGGCGGCGCGTACGCACTCATTATAGTCAAAGAACAAAAAACTTGCAGACAGGCAGGTACCCGGCCATAGAGGAGGAGTAGTACGGACTTACGGGTCCATTATTTTGATAGGCTCGTTGGTGTTAAATCAATGGATCGTGGATACGATCACCATCGGGTGCAGCATGTTTTCAATCAATTTACATTTTTTCTAAAAATTCGGCTGTATATTAAATAGAGGGTAGGAATTTAAATAAAACACTTTAACGGTTTAAAACGCGATATATTAGTTAAACTTGTTTGAAAATAATTTTTAGCTACGGTCCGACGTTTCGGATGCTTTGCAGCAGCCGTGGTCACGGGGAGACCTTAGTTAACTGGTTATGTTTAACTAATATATCGCGTTTTAAACCGTTAAAGTGTTTTATTTAAATGTGTACTACTCGCGTAAACTATAGATAGTAGAGGGTAGGAATATCAAAATTCCGCCCTGGTCACGATCCCAAGTTTTATCTTCTGGCCTCCTCTATCGAATAGTTTTCGAACCTTTTCACTTCTACATTTTACATACGCGCCCAATAACTGCATGAAATTTAAGAGGTGTTTTGTGTTGATATTTGTTTAGGAATTTAAAATTACCTAGTTATAAGGGGAAAATAACACATTAACTTAATCTGTTATTTAATAACTAAAATTGTATATCTGCGTATATTATGGATCTATGCCCTTCATCAAATTCAATAAGCGTCAACGTCCACTAAAGAAAAGCTGAGTGAGTCATGCGCCAGGCGCACGCTTTATCGGCTCGAATAAATGCAAAAACACGAGGAAATCGCGTTTTCAAAGAAAGTGTATTTATATCTCTATAGAATTCCAATGAACTAGTATCGGTGACAAGTCTTTTTATAAATCGCAGCACTTTCAGCGTTTTCATAATGCGTCATTCTTTTTCGAGCGAATGTATTATTGCGTATTTACTTGAAAATGAAATGGGTTATCTGAATTTGTTAGTAAACGTGAAGTTTTTTAAAGATAAGCTAAGGAAAACTGTTTTATTTTGCTACACAAAAACACTAAAATATGTTGAAAATGGACAATAATCATACAGCGAAGAATTTCTTGGGTGAATTCACAGAGTACTGTCCGAGTCGACACGATTAGTTCTATATAATATTAAATTGAAAATGTATACAAGAAAGTCATGGCCACGTCTGAGACAAGCCCCCTAAGTATCTTATGGACTTAATAACAGATCAACAATTATATTCCGTGTTTTAAACTGTTTAAACTAGGTTAAATAGTCCATTTTTTGTGAAGACCGTTATTTGTAAAATGTTAGGCACATTTCGCTAGTCCGTATTAGTTTTATTGATATTTAAATTCGTTTAAATTACGAGAACGAAAAAAATTACATAATATATACTTATTTACGTAAAACAATTATTTTTATGACAAATCAAAGTCCTTCGCCTATCTAAGGTTATCGGCTACAAAATGAGATAGCTTTTAATATCAGCCACTTATGTCCATTGAATGAGATTAAATTTATATTGGAATAATAGTTCAAGGCAAAATGCCCTAGACCCGGACAAAATTGTAATATTACCGCTCCCCTTTTTATATTAAGATTTCTAAATACATTTTTCATTTCAATAAACTAAAGGGTTTGAACGGAAAATATATTAGTGACTTATTTACAACATTATCTTTGGCCCGACGTTTCGAATGCTTTGCCTCTCCGTGGCCATGGCTGCTGCGAAGCATCCACGTGTCTTGCGTTTTAAACGGTTAAAGTGTTTTATTTAAATGTGTACTATTCGCGTGAAGCACAGACATTATTTCATTTTTGATGTCAAATTTAATTTACTTGGAAAAATAATAATAATAATTTATTTGTCAGACCATAAATCCATACATTAATTTATAATAATTAATTAATTCTATTGTGCGTTAGTTGGGTTAGTAACAATTTTTAATGTTGTCAAAAAGTTTTAAAATAAACCATTGCTTCGTAATCACGTGACAAAGACACGCCTTTATCAATACTCTGAGATCAGACACGTATTGAGATATATTAAACAAATAAATATTTCTAAGAAACATATCTTTTTATATCTTAACCTTTTGAGAATGTTTTGTCGAGTGAGGAATTTTTCTTTTAAGAGAGAAATCAATAGACCATTATCTGTAAGTAGTCATACACTTCAATGTTATGTTGTTAAAAATGTTTACAAATATAATGTCATACTAGAAAGTCGCTGTGAATGCCGGTTCGAGACCAGCCCGTGTCGTAATTTTTCAATGTACCTGCATAGATTTTTTATTGAATCTGTGTTCCTCTGATTTTTTAGAATTGAAATTGTGTTCCTCAATTGAATTACAATGAAAAACCTTGGCATAGCTGTAAAAATGTATATTTCACTAAAATATAGGCTAATTCGACTAGTTTCTTACTACCAAATGTCTACATCCCATTTTCTTGTAAAGCTAAAATCGTAAATCTTAGTGTACAAAAAACATACAATTTCTTAGCCGTGTAGATTATGCTAGTAGGAAGATGTTGAAATGTGTATAATAAACTCATAAGAAATTATAGTTTCTCGTCATTTTATTATACATAGTTTATTATGTTTATACAAAAATATAACTTATTTTTCCCACTTTTATAAAACAAAGTACAAATTTATTCGAAAAACGCGATTACAAAATAATAATCTTTTCAATAATTGGTTATGATAATGAGATGTGTAAGAAAAGTTTAGTGACCTAATAAGCTTATAATTATTATGAGATTTATTATTTTCCTCTATCCATGTCATTTTGGGCAATGTGCAGTAACCACCACAATGTTAAAACTGCACCGTGTTAAAAAAAATAATAATTGTAAAATACTAATTGTTATTAATTTCATTATTTAACCAAAACAAACTTTATATTCATATAATATATTATAATTCGACTGGACATAACTCTTTTAAGCGTAAGCGTGTAAAATACTATTTCTAGGTCTTAAATTAGCCCACAGACAGTATAATAAATAAAGCATACAATTATAAACGTCGTATGGCTTAACTAAAATCATTTACCCGTTAGTATAGTTCTTACGCAATATAGCAATATAATGTTGCTTAAAGTTTTAAAATTTGGCACCGCCATTAATAATTTTATTGAGATTATGTGTTTAAATTATTATCTTACAAAAATTAATTGAATATTAATTTCAAGAGATTACCGTCCTCGTACTGCATAGTAAAGTTCATATAAAAATTAATAACAACGATATGCTACAATTAACCTTGTACAATAAAATTTTTATAAAAGCGCCATCTATCGGCCGTTATTGGTAAATTCGTAAAAAATCTTTAATTAATAGTCATTAACGACTTTCGTTAATTATCCTAATACCCAACTTATATTTATTTTTACCTTATTATGTTTGAACCAATTTAAGTATTTGGTAAACTATAATTAACGCGTACACAAACTTAAAAAAGATTTGTACGTGACAATCACAATTATAATATTGGATATGTTTTGTATATCTGTCTGTTCAAAAATCACATTTATTAGTTTAAACGAAATTAGTGGATTTAGTTTTTATTTCACACTTCTGTGTCCTCTTATGTATGTATGTATGGCTTAAATTTAAACTATAAAATGCACTATTAAAGTGCTTTTCACTGTATCAATAAATATAGTTTATATTTTTTACTTACCTAACTACCTACATACGCATTAATTCGTACTACAATTACGCTACTACTTACTACATCCAATACAAGGGTAACTTATTTTAGCTACTAAATCAATCCAAATACGGCAATAGATAGTCGTCTACAATGCTCACGTTCATGTGCCAATTGAAGTGATTGATTCCAGGTACGGTGACGATGTGGAGACGCCCGCTCTCGTCGAGCGCCCGCAGCCCAATGCGGTCCGACATATAGATGTCCTGCTCGCGCAACTCTACTACCGTCTCATTCACATTGTAGTAGCCGAATTGACTGAAAAATGTATTGCATGCAAATTGATATATGTATATGCGTGTTTTATTAATAAAAAAAATATATATTATATTAATGCAAAAGTTTCTAAAAATAGAGATCCTGAGGCTTTATTGATGTTGATAAGAATGGTGTATATGTAGCTGTAAGTTTTAATCTAAAAACTCTAATATGATGTGTCTCGTTCTTATGTTGTGATCATTTCACAGTTCAATAATTTTTAGAGTAATGCTCGATACACCAACACAAAATGTTAGAATAAAAAAGTTACTTATTTAGATAAAACAACTTCGCGTTTAAAACCATCAAAAGTGGTTTAAGGTTGTTGCAGTTAAGTCAATTTAATTTTAAATGATTTAGCATAAACAATACTTAATAATTGTTTAGAGATAAAAAATATACCTGCTCTGCCAAGGAGTAATAACTTGATCGTCGGGACCACCAATTAGCACAAATCGTTTTAGTCTCAATAAGTTGGATTTAAAGTCGTCCGATTTCGCTGACCTGAAAACACGATATTAAACTGTTGGAAATAAAATATAAAAAACAACAAAAGATCAGGTTCCACCGAGATTTGAACTCGGATCGCTGGATTCAGAGTCCAGAGTGCTAACCATTACACCATGGAACCGATGATAACGACGATGAAATTATCGTAAATAACTCCATTCCAAAATGACAATACAAACAAAAAGTTAAATAAAATGTTATACCAAGTACAGAAAACGAGAATAATTTAAACAAATAATAACAAGTTATAATTAAAAAACATTGATTTCACTTTCGATCAGCACCATCTAGTGAAATTGTGGGAATAACTATCAACCTTTACACAAATTTATCGTTTGTTACCCACGCCATCTAGCTTATTTATTTCTCATTAGGGGTTTGAACAAGACCGTGATATTCAATCCGGATGTTATTACTTATTCACATCGATTACGTAGTATTATCCAGTAATTTGCATAATAACTATTAAAACCTTGACATAATTCTATTATCACTCATTTTCGAAGAATATTTGAATACGCCGAGTTCTTGTTGAGTTGAGTTGCTAGTAATTCTCGTTTGTTCTACGCGCTTATTTAAAAACTGGTAGTAAATGTAAATAAAGTATCATTTGTTTTATCATTTATTTTAGTAACGTCTATGTATAACTTTGACAAGAATATGAAAAACGAGGCTTAACAAGACTCACTACGAATTTTCTTTATCTAATTATATATATTAATTACCACTTTCGGTTACCAGAATGGTATTATTAATACTAAATAATATACTTTGCAGAAACAGTCATCTTCAGAATGATGTAAAAATAAGATTAAGTACCTTCCTGTGACTTTAAAAGCATAGTAATGAGTACTTACATAATATGATTATTAATATACGGCAGAAAAACGCTGTATTCCTCATACAAAGTCTGATGGTAGGGATCCTTCCAGTAATTACCGACAGAGGTGTGTTGCCCGACTCGTGAGTAGAACAATTCATAGGCTGACTCCTTGACTAGTCCAGGGAAAACGACGTGAAGGAAACCGGCTGGAAATAAAATAGTATTTGTTATAAAATAAAAAGAGATAATTTTAAGTTGTTCAGAGGGCTCATGTCACCAACTGTCAAGTAGGTAGCTTTATTTAAAGACAGTAGAATTTACCTCAAAGCCTTAGCCTCAAATACGTGTAATTATATGTGTAAATGTATATGGCAATAACAATAAAAACTAAATTGCAGAGTAACTACTGACTTGAGTTCCATTTTTATCTTCAATTTTGTTAAACTACCAATTTAAAGTTGCTTGCGACTAACTGATAAGTTATTGAAATAGGTCACGCAATCATTACAATTTATATTTAAAAACTGTAAAATATAAGTATAGAAGTAAAAAAATATAAAAAGATAATTTAAGATAAAAACTTAATATATTGTATTACAAGGCATTACTTTATTTGCTTTTTGTTTTATTGTAAATCTTATAAAAACGGTTTTATAAGCATGATTATTAAATTTACATACCTCCATATTGACCGCCTTGAGGTGAACTTAATGAAATAAAGGTGCTTACTGAAACATTCGGGAATGTCTGCACGATGCCTCTTGCTACCAGGCCGCCTTGGGAGTATCCTGGAGTCAGTAAAATATTTAGATAGATAAAAGCCCATGACATAACCGAAACTTAAACCTACCATATCAGTTTTGTTCTTCTCTGGTTGTAAAACTATGGATATTTAATTAATTTATGCTCGAAGCTTGCTTTTAAAAAGTCAATCCTTTATCAATTAAATAATTTAAGGTATGCGTTTGAATAATGCAAGAGAATAATTTAAGACTGAAAGGACATTAGTATTATTGTTATATCTCAGCAGTTCAATAATCTATACAAATGACATTGTAATGCAGGGTCGTGGGGAGTGACGTCATTAGTCTTTACAATAACATTGAATGAAAACATATGATACACAAGTATCAAGTATAAGAATAATAATAGAAGACATAATTTAATAGATACAGCAAAAGGGGGAAAATTTTTACTTAAGGGCAAAAAGTCCTGATTTTAACAGACACAGAATTATGTCTGTCCCCTATCAACTTTGGGGACCACAAATGCATCAATCATCAAAAGTAAAATATTACAATTTATTTGTACTAGTGTCTAATTAATGCCTTCTTAATAATACTAATAAATATATAGTAAAAAGAGATGTTTCATTATGCATTAGTTGCATAGAATCGAGCTTGTACAGTTGAAAGGTTGTTAAAGCTATATAGAAATATGATTTCCCTTTGTTTGTTAACAAATCTGTAGCTTATTAGAAGTTGTTCACCTTACCAATGAGATTTATACCCTCAGGATAATGACTAGATATGTTTGCTATGTCCAAACCAATTTCTAGAACTTGATGCCACATAGTTTCTAGACTGGACCAACTTTCGAATCTATTGACATTATACACCTTTGTTCCTGGGTGTTTCTGAAAAATTTTAATGGTCTGTCAAATATATAATATGTAGTTACATGCTAGATATAAGGTATACATATATATATACAGGAAAAATATTAAGCCATTTGAATTGAGTTTGATTTCAAACCATAAAAAATGCCCCAAGTAAATAAATGGCTTATTGGTAAACAAATATTATAATGGTATTAGAACATAGTTACTTGGTTAAGTTTCCTTGTAATATAATTAGTAACATAATAATTAAATATAATATAATTTTAAATTTATTAATTATATATGCTGTCTATAGTTTACGCGAGTAGATTTAATTAAAACTCTTTTATTTAAAACGTGTCTTAAACCGTTAAAATGTTTTATTTTTTTAATAATTAAATATAGTACAATAATAAATTATAAATAACCATAAACTTTACAAATAGTAGTAGTATCATTTACCTCTTGAATTCTACGTGATATTATTTCCATACTTCCACTTCCAGTCATGATTCCATGAACTAAAACAACAGGCTTATACGCCAGGCTGGTATTTAGGAGCATCAGAATCCCAAAAAATATCTTGAGGGTCAACTTCATGGCTAATCGCGTAAGAACAAAGACACAGCTAAAAGAAATATTTGAAAGCTGAAAAGACAAAAACTTTTATAGATTTTATACAGTAAGTATACAAAATAGTAATAGAACAAAAATTATACCCAGGAATAGCCAAGAAACGTTTGTGAATCACGAAAGAGGAAAAAAGATTGATGAGCAGAAGAGGTTCTTACAATGTTTATGTTTTGACTGGTTTGAAGAGTTGACGTTTAAAATGATGGTTGACATTAATTTCGTAGCCACTTGGGTAGCCATGTCGATATACTGAAAAATACCGAATTCAAACGTATTAATTTAATTGGATATAAAAAAAATCTTTATATCTACTATAAAAAAAAACAAACATAAAAACGCTATGTTATAGAATAATATGTAATTATTATAAAATTACAAAATAAACCAATAATATAAAGTTGTATTCAATTAGGCAAGTTATATTTAAAAAAAAAGACGTGTGGCACTCGGGGACTGCCGCGGTAAAGCTATTGCATAGCATTTTGTATCAACTTAACAAATTTTACATTGATTTGACAAATGTAACTTAACATTGACTGCGTCACAGTCTTTTTATATAATTATATTTAATTTAAAATTGACTAACAACTTTAAAAGCGGTAGTTCATTGGCAACATTTAAATTAGAATGTCATTTCTTCCAAATGATAATTGTCAATAACACGTGTGTTTTCTTATTGCAGTTGTCAAAAAGTCTTATGTTGACAAAATCCGTGTACAATTCTAAAACGAAATATATTCACTGTTAATGTATTAACTTATACTTAAAACTATTGTAAGAATGGTTTTATGAGTATTTTATTCTTGTATTTGTTTAATGGTGGGTTATTCACAAAATGTTCTTTTATATGTGCTATGAAATAGCCATTTAAAGCGCGATAGTTACTTTATAACCTCTAAATTTCAGATCGCCTCAGTTAACTAAAGAAAAATATACAATGGCTTCAACTTCTCTTAGCGACCAGTTAAAGAAATTAAGTACACCTCAGACTTCAATATATAAAGATGATAAGAAACGTGTATCACTGTTATTCGATCCCAAGGAAGCGGCTTTAAAAGATCGCGACACCTTCTACGATATAGGAGTTAGTGGTCTGAATGAGCTTATTTCATTATACGAAGGCTTCCGAGTGTATGAAGACTCTCTATTTAGTGTAACCTCTAAGGACTTTGAACGCGCCGTTCAAACAAAGGAAGTAAACGCAAATTTAGACCAGACTATAGAAAAGTTTCTTTTAGAACTATCGCCATACATGCTACTGCAGTCCTCGCATAAGGCTTTAGAATGGTTAGTGAACAGATATTACATTCACGATTACAACCAGGATGCTATTATAGCTCTCATCTTACCGTACCATGAAACAAAAATATTTATTAGATTCGTCCAAATCATGGATACTTCCTCTAAAAGTTGGAAATGGTTGGAGCCTGTTAAAGCCAATGGTATACCACTAACAAAGCTAGTATTGCACAAGCAGTGTATTTCCAATACATCAACATTGCATTTTATAGCTAGAAGCACATTGAAACATGTCACACAGTTTGGTGAAAGGGCGAACCAGTTAAATACAGTGATTGCTTTTTTCTGCTCAACTGCAATCGGTTGTATGCACACAGTTACTTCTATTTCAGAAGCTATGATAAATGCTTTATTACCTACATTGATCAGTGCTCTTGATTCACAAATAGCAGACTTCAGAGCCAGCTCTTATATTATATTTGGCTATTTGATGACAAAGGCTAAACTAAAGATTAAAACAATTAATGAAATCATTGAAAAACTTTTTACTAGTGAGTTTGAGTTAACCCAAGACGTCGTCCTGCTTATAAACCTTATTTACACCAACCAAAAGCATGTTACCCAGATGTCTGAATTTGTGATAAGCAATATAACAACTGACTTGCTAGCAACATTCTGTGAACATCTTAAAGTTTTGATAAAGGGCAAGATTGATGTTCTACCCTTTGTACTTGCGTTTCTGTCAGGAGTGTTGGCTCAAATACAAGAAGGCACTGAGGAGTTTATGATGTTCTCAAAGCATCCAAATATTTTGCTAGATGAACTGGATTTACGGAAGCAAAAACCTGAAAAAGTTATACAGTAAGTAAAGAAAGCTTTAATATATATACATTGCAAGGAATTGCTAACTAGTCGAAAATATTATTTATATACCCATTGCTTATATCAAAGACACTATCAGTAGTTATATTGAAACAATAAAATCTATTCATATCAAACCCAGTTAATATACTACTCACTTATAAAAGTGTTTAGGTAAGAATTTAAATTTGTTGGTACTTTATTTGTGTACTCATTTAGTTAATACAGTTGTGAAAGTTTAAAATGCCAACTAAAATAGTTACCTTGCTTTTAACTACAACAGAATGTGTTGAATACTCTCACAATATGTATTGTTTAATGACAGGTGTTTGATGTACACGTTACATAGAACAATTATATATCTGAATGTTATAGTAATATTAATCAAATGTTTAATAAAATAAGTAGATAAAACAAATTTAAAATGCCTTGTTGAGGGTGACTAGTTTCTTCCAGGTTACAAAAAATAAATATATTATAGTTCATGTATTCTTACAATTAGTGTCTATCAAGATACACGCCAGAGTGGGTGGATATTTTCATGTATGAAGTGAAATTGTATGTATGTTTGTTGATAGACATACATACAATTCAATACATGTCTATCAACAGACATACATAAAATTCCAACATGACAGCACTCTTATCTATTCCATGCTACAGCGTGGAATAGATAAGAGTGTTGTCATGTTTCCTTAGTCAAATCTATAATGTTTATATTTTATGCATTTCAGATGTGTCCTAAACAGTTGGATGTCGCAAAAAACTGAAACAACACAGGATGATAGCAGCGATCTTGAAATAATCAGTGACGATCACGATTTCCAGTGCAAGCTTCTTGAATGGTATTCCTTATTCTTCAAAGATATCGAAAGCAAATACCCTGACGCGTTCGATAAGGTTGTCAAGAAAGAGATGGCTTCAGAAAATAAAGAACGTAAAGCGCGTTTTTCAAAAGTATTAAGTTTCAACCCAGCCATCGCCCACAAAATTGGTGGGGCATATCTCTTTGAAAACCTCAACCACGCAAACCCCGAGGTACGACGTGGCGCCGTCACATTTATAGCAAAGGAGTTCGAGTCTTTCCAGATTAAAAGCAAGGAATTCGTTAAAGAGTCGATTATAAATCGCTTTCACGATGACGATCCTGGTGTTGTTAAAGAAGTACTATCTATTGATGCTGATTTGAATAAACTGCTCGACGATATGGAAATCACTGATGTATTGACCCATATTTTGTCTCAAACATCCAAATCATGGAAGTCTGTAGTTAAACTGGCTATAGTAAAAATATGCAATCTTAACATTCTTCCAGTAAACACGGACACTGTTATAGCGTTAATACCATTCTTATTTCCTGCTAACCAATCCAGTGCAACAATTACTTGGAATATCATATCTTCACCTTGGGGCGCTAAAGCTGGCTTGAAAGACAAACTGCCATATAATCATGCCATCGCTGATAATGCAGAAGTTCTCAGTCAAATGATGTTCAAAGCATTATTTGAAGATCAATCTGTGAACTTTATGGATATTCTTGATATTACTAGGGTTAACAAAGATAGGACATTAGATCTAGTGTTCTATTTGTTATTAAAAACTTGCAGCATTCAGCAAGCGCCTATCCAAGATGTTGTAAGTATCCTAGATTTATTACTAGAGAGTGTCAATAACAGAACTATCATGTCCAGTGAAATAAGTAACGTCTTCAATAGTGAAACTATTCGGGAACTTATAATGATTGCTAGGCATGACGAAATACTGTTTGAAATGTTGGATTTCATTTTCGACAAAATTATAAGAAAGTTGACACCCAGGGATGCAACAAAACCATGGTGCAACGTATGCGTCAATCCAAGCAACATTCTAGTTAGGAGGCTTTTTGAACTTTTCGTGACGGGTTGTGGCATACAAGGCTATAGTGACACTTATCAAAAATTGCTCCAGAAGCTATTTCGGCAGTTGTTCAAAACCGCAAAGGAGAAGTTTGAATTTGTCGCCAACGTGGCTTGCGGGCATGTCTTATATGCTGAGAATCCCAAGAATTTAGTTAGCCCCGTGCTTCAATTGAGGTCATTAAAACTGTTAAACAGCTTTATAGTCGTACAAAATAGTGAAACTTGGCTTTACGATTCGGATGTTCTCATTGTAACAATACTCTTTTGTTTGAATCATCCCATCAAAAGTATACGTGTAGCTGTCCTCGAGTTGGTGGATATGATTTTGCAAGACGTAAAAGGCAATACAATTTATGTTCACTTTCTAAAAGAGGTGATGGAACACAAAGGGGAAATGTTAATGGATCACGAACAAATCGCCCAAATTATGAGGAAGATACTCACTCAGCAGACGGTTGGGAATAAAGTCTTTAAAAAGAACTGCATGCTAAAGCTGACTGGAATTTTAATTGGCGAAACACCTGCTCATATAAAATCAAACTTAGTGAGGCTACTGTCTGGTATCAATAACTCGAACATGTTTTCCCATATCGCGCTGTCGCTTAGGACTTTATTAAATCCACTGAAATCCAGTGGCAGAGTGGCGTTTGATATCTACGAATCAAATTTGTTTACCAATGTCATTAGTCAAATAAATGAGACGACAGTGACAGCTATTGCTAGAGAGGATGTATGGAAAATACTTGAAGCGTACCTCAAGGAATACAGAGAATGTATTATACAAGAGGACATGACTTTCACTAGTCCCAGTATTATAATAATGAGAGAACTAAGTGAAAACGTTTACGCGAACGCTCCCGCAGAGAAATGTAAAGACTTGATTTATCTCATTACGTCAGCTGGAGCGTTTAGTAATAATCCGTCGATTTCGAGTGCCGCTGCGAAAACTATGAAGAAAATTAAGATAAAACTCTTAGACTTCAAAGCTATACTGGAGAAGATGATAAATGTCAAAGATCCTGCTGAAAATGTTGCTAAGAAGAAGAAATCGAGTATGTCCATGATATCGTACCAAGTCGTCGAAACCGACGAGTGGCGTTTAGGGCTTACGTTACTGGAATACGTACAAAATAAGAAGAAAATGGTTTTGGACAACACTTATGTGACAACACTCTTTCAATTGTTGAATAAATGTCTGAGGTTCGAGGAGCAATCCTACGTGGAGTATACGAAACAGTTAATTTTGTCCTCACTATGGTATTACTGTAAGGCACACATGGATGGAAAAGATGAAGATCAAGTAAGGGAGCTGAAGAGCATATTCGATGTCGAATTAGTAGTCCAGTGCATTAGAGGAACACAGAATCCTCAAACTCACCATCATTCGTTGATTCTGTTGTCGCAAGCGGCTCAAATTCTACCAGAACAAGTCCTTCACCATATTATGGAAATATTCACGTTTATCGGCTCTTCCGTTCTGCGGCACGATGACGCGTACAGTTTCCAGATTATCACAAAAATCGTTGAGACGCTAATACCGATCCTTGTTAAGATGAATAAAAATATTAGCGATTATACCAAGAAGGAATTAGAGCAGCTCCATAAGCGTGTAGTGCCTGTGCTTAGAATATTTGCAGATGTTGTTTTAGATGTACCGGAGCACAGACGATTGCCCCTATACAAAAAGCTGATAGAGACATTAGGAGCCAATGAGTTCTTATGGGTATTCTTAGCGCTGCTCCTGGAAACGCATATAGCTCATTTTGGGGATAAGAAAAAGAAAGATAATGCATCAGCCAACCACAACGTAGCAGACAAGGAGGCGCCGATAAATCGGCTAGATTTTGGACAAAGCATCGTTTTAGAGTTTCCACCGGAGATTGTTTTGGAGAACTTTATCAAACTGACGATGTATATGAAATCTCTGCCGTTACTGAAGGATGACGACACCATGGACACGACGGTCGACCCAAGCGACATATTCAGCGTGAATGGTCATTCTGCTATCCAACTGCGTCATTACAAATACGTCTTTGTGACTTTCCTGAATAACTGCCTTTCTTTAGCAAGATTCGTGGAGCAGTGCAGCCAAGCGACAGATATACCAACCATGGAGTCACATTACAAGTCCTTCGTAATTAATATACTCACCTTCATCCAGAGTATAACGAAGATAAAAGATGAAAAAACAGCGAAATATTGGCGCGTAATGTTGCATCATAGCTACGATTTATTAGACCACATAAACAATTTACTGTCGGCGCCGATGTTCTTGTCTGTAGTGAGAGGACTATTGTTACATACGCTGCCGACAGTCCAAAGGAAAGCCATGGAGTTACTGAACTTAAAGATTCAGTGCAGTCCAGAGATGTTTGACAACGTGGATAAGACCCTAATGTTTTCTTTATTGCCGTCCTTACTGCGAATCGTGAAGACCATTGGAACAGGCGTGGAGAACGTTGACGAAGCAGACTTGAACCAGCAGACGGCGCTGTTAACCCTCAAACTATTGACGCGGATGTCAGCCCAAAAAGATCCAGAAGAATTCCAACAGGTTTTGGAGGTGGTCACAGATTACACTTGCAGTGCTGACATACCGCCTAACGTAATGGCTTCCATTGTGCTTTGTTTAGCGGAGCTCTGCGCCAACTTGAAGGCGTACTGCTTGAACTCTCTCCGTAAATTCATGCCGGCTCTGATAAAAGTCCTTAAAAAGCAACGGGAATCAGAAACACCAGAACTGGTGTTATTAAGTACAGTGACAGCCATTTCAAAAATTGTTGAAAGTATGCCACTGTTTTTAAGTCCGTATTTAAAGAAGATAATTTACGAATACTCGCTTCTGTTGGCAAAATGGCTGGCACATGACCAAGACAACAACAAGGTTTCCGCAATTGTGACCAAGCTGCAAACGATAAAGAAGAAGATAGCCAGTTCTATACCTCCAAGAGTTATGATACCAGTGGCAAACGAGACGCACGGATTAATTATCAAGAAACAGAAGTACGAAGCTGTAGGGCCCGTGATGGCGGTTTTAGCTGATAGTTTCGCAAATGTGACGACGGCCGATTTCACAGCCCTGCAACAGGATCTGACCTTGTTCTTTATTACGGCGTTGCAGTTGCGATGCGATGCTGGGAAACACGATGTTGACGAGAGTATAATTGATAATGCTGAGGACAAAGTGGTGAAAGCGCTGGTGTCCCTTGTTTTGAAACTGTCTGAGACGAGCTTCAGGCCATTTTACTTTAAGATTTACGATTGGGCGATACGAACTAACATTGAAGGGCAGAAGGACAGAGCTATCACATTCTATAGGTGAGTTTTTTTATGTATAATTCACTATAAAAGTACTTTAATCATTGGAGAAAAGACAGATTTTATTTAAATAAAACACTTTAACGGTTTTAAACGAGATATGTATTAGGTAAACTTATTTAAAAATTATTTAATAGTTTTATACCGTTAAAGTGTTTACTCAATCCCGTTTTCCCCCTTGGGTCGAAACTTATGTCGTTTCAATGATCGGATATTTTACAGGCAGTATTTGATCAGTTCTGTACACTGCACGATTAAAACAATTAATTGTTGCCCTGGGACTCGAACCTACGGCCTCTCGCGATTAACGGAATGCTAGGCACACATTAATATGTTATTTTATTCGATAAATTAAATCTCTGATTGTATTGTTAATTTTTTTCTCTTTTCAGACTAAGCAGCGCAATTGCGGACAAATTAAAAGGACTGTTCGTGTTGTTCGTCGGACATTTTATCAAGAACGCCGCAGATCTATTGGACGCGTGCAATAATAGTAAAACGGAACAGCTATATTTTGAATCTGATAATAAATGCCTCGATCTTATCAAGTATATACTTAAGACGTTGCATACTGTTTTCTTGTATGATAGCCAAAGTTTCATCAATAAGGGCCGGTTCGAAACTCTAATGCAGCCAGTGGTAGATCAATTGGAGAATACGTTAGGTGGAATTTCCGACCTTCAGACGAGGGCGAAGAAGATTATAATCCCGTGCATATCGCAGTTTGCTGTGACGATTGGTGACGATTCCTTGTGGAAGCTGCTGAACTACCAAGTTTTGTTGAAGACGAGACATAATGACGCCGAGATAAGGTTTGTTAATTATTTAAGTATAGTAATAATTTGTACTTATATATGTGGTAAAGTAACAGCACGGCATGGTGGTCATGGGTTATGTATCTCATAATTTTAATTTCTTATTTCAATTGTTCTTTGTATATGTTGCCCTCGTGTGCAATAACAAGTGAAAATAATAAAGCTTTTAAACCTAAGTTCGCAAGTGTTAAGGTTATATTCCGTTAGACGTGCATGTATTTATGGATTGAAGAAATTGATGACATGTAGGACATGGTAGATCAATTGGTTAAGAGTACCATGGCTTACTGTGAATGCCGGTTGCAGTCCCGCCAACGACATCGTTAGTCTTCAATAGATTTTTATTTATATCATCACTAACATGTGTTATGTCATGTAAATCATAAAGTTTTAAATTATATCTATATTTATTGTTTATCTAGTTAAATTTATCAGTGGAACAGATTATTTGTTATATTAATTATTCTGTATACCCTCAATACTGTTTTTTTTTAGATTGATAGCCTTGGACTGCCTAGTAGATATGGCAACTCAGCTAGGCAGCAACTGGCTACCTCTACTGGCTGAAAGCGTACCATTCCTCGCGGAGCTTTTGGAAGATGGCGATCAGAGAATTGAGGTCGCCACTAAGAACGCGGTGCGGACACTAGAACAAATATTAGGAGAACCGCTCGAAAAATATTTCTAATTAAATATCGAATACTATGAAGTATTTTTTTATAATACATATATAGAATGATTTTCAATTGTTTTATTCGTATTTTTAACCTCCATTATTTTATAACGACACGGTCTCGTTTTATTTCTTTTACACTAGATGTCCCTTTTCGAACTTAGTTTTGCTTATTCCTTAAGATAAAGGCAGTGTTAGAACAATTATAACACAATCTAGCTGATTCGAATATAAATAATATTTTTTTTATTGGCTAAGCCAATTATCAAGAACGGCTTTAGGCTATAAAACATCAGCAGGCCGATTCTACTAATTTAATGACGTTTCGATCAAGTTGCAGTCACGCTGCAATTAGGTTTCGATTCAGCGCCGATGGTATTCTCTTAATTTGACAACTGCCCATCCAATAAGAAGGTACGCCATCGAATTGTCAAATACACGCTGGTGTCACGTAAACTTGACGCGAACGTGTTTGACGCTGGACGAGAATACCAAAACGTCACTGAAACTGCGCTGCTGCTTAACTTATATTAATACGAGAATCGGCCTACAGGTTGTGTCCAATAGGAGATAAGAAGTAGAGGAAAACGGTAAAATTTTTATTCATCTTTATGGGAGCCCGTTGCGTGCGTTGCGAAAAAAGGAAAAAAATGTATTAAGTAATAAATTATTCTTCATTGGGGGTGTAAAATAAATTTTTTTTTTTATTTCAACTCACGTGAACTTTTCTATGGCAATTAAATTTCGTCGAAATAAGTCATGTAAAAGAACGTTTGCCAGCTAGGTGAAAATAAATTGCTTAGTGGACGACCTGGTATCGAACACACGTAGGGAAGTCGATTCTATCTATACTGTTTGAACTGAATCATTTATTAACTTTGCTCTAGCCTTATTTATAACAAAACAATACAACGAAGTGAGAACATCGCTGGAAGTATAAGTTTTAACGAGTAAAGTTTCGATTCAACTCGGCAAATAATTAGAGATTATTTGTACGTGAACTCAGTATTATGAACATTTGAAGCGGTTCAAAAAAGCGGTTCGCCCTTTGGGCATGGGGCGAACATATTTCCTTGCACCGATTGATGGTTTTTAAAAGTAGTTGATTAAACTGCTGTGCTCTGTCCGACCGACATAATTTTCCCCGGGTTTTGAAACCAGGTCCGCTTGATTTTTAATTCGATTAACGGAGGAGGTACACGTTAATCCTTTTTTATATTTGTAAAGAACCTTTTTATTTAACGGAAATAACACAACAAACCGAAGGACATGTTGGCTTCTGAAATCAACCGACTGACTGAAACATACACTTCATAGTTTTTTCATCTGTTTACAGAACTTCGATAATCCTATCAACCATTAATATCCAAATTACCAGACGACTGGTAATAATATGATGATATCTGGTAAAGATATGATGATAATGTCTGATCTTTCAGAAAAATTATAAATCGATTAGAAACACGTATAAAACACGAACCCGGTGGAGGTGGAACTCTCGACCCGTTACATATACATTGCTAGTATTACACCAACAAACGCATTTATTTCAGTCGGAATTCAGTCTTATTACCTACAAAGACAAATCACAGAGCTAAGTAGGATGTAATTAAAAGGCTTCGCAGGACAACTTCGAGTTCATGCTAATTGCGGCGAGTTGCAGGATTTGCGAAGTTGGGCAGTGGAGGTGTTGTGTGACTTAGTAAGTTACATTTAGTGTCACCTACATTTAAGTATATCTACGGTGGGTTAGTTAATCTCCAGTCTTACTTTAAAAACGACGAAATTGGAAAATAGAATTGTTTCGTTACAATTAAACATACGGTACAGATTCAAATGGGATATAGATAAAATCTAGTGTGTTTATTTATTTTCGGCTGTCTAGCTAAATGGTTAGACGTGTTGCCTAAGTTTATTGTAATATATCATACGATTATTATTGCATTGAGCCGGCAATCCTGGGTTCAAAACCCGACAAAACATTAGATTGTTTTGGTCGGGCAGGGTACAGAATAACTAATTGTTTGTAAATTGTCGATCAGTGAAACGGACACACAAATGTGTTCGCCCATGTCCCATGGAAGGAAACGGGATTTCACTTTTTTATTAATTTCTGTTTTATGTTTTCACTTGCTTGCTAATCAGAAATAGAAAAATGTTTTTAATATTTTACACATTCGCATGACGACACTATATAAATTAAAAATCGATTATAAATTTAAAAAAATTACGAACAGGCCTGAACATGAAGCGGCATCGACAGAATAAATTAAAATAAAATAAGATAAAGTGCTAGATGATTTATGGTCGACGCAACTATGAATACGTTAAAAATAATAACTGTTTTTATAGTTGCAAAGACGGTCGGATGTCTGAAAATAAATCTATTTAAATGGTCACACCAATATGTCCTTTTGTGCCATCTTACAAAATATTTCTGAATTGGCTGTGTGTATAAAAATAAGTACTTGTATGGATATATATTATATAGGAAACGAAAAGTTAAACCAAAAATATGGCTCTTGATTTACGTTAGTTCGGCTTCGCTAAAGTTGTGTTATTAATCTCTGATAAATCCAACTTTGTGACAACTGGCAGTTCCTGTGGCAGCTTTGCGAAAAACAAAAATTTCACATTATTTACGATAGAATTGTGATGTCAAACGTATACATTGTATAAGGTAAACGTATACATTATAGATGGAATTATATAAATTAAAAGTCTATACTATATAATATAAAGCTGAAGAGTTTGGTTGTTTGAACCCCCTAATCTCAAAAACTACTGGTCGGCTATAAAACATTGCGCTGAGACTAGTAGGAGCGCAGAAAAAACGGGAAATGTGGAGAAAACGGCAAAAATTATTCAACTTTGTGGATATCCGTTGCGTACGCTGCGAACGCGGTCCAAGATACCCAAAAAATATATAAAGAATTATTCCTTTTTAAATGATCTCCAATATTGTCTGCGACATAATATCTTTTAAGATTACTTATAGGAATGACGGGAGCGTTGCGATGCGAGCGACAGCGTTTACGCGATTAACAGCTTAAATTCATAAAAATGAAGAGGCGGTATTTGGATGCTCAAAACGCTACACGGACGAAGTCGCTGACATGGCTAGTTTATAATAAGTTTTTAATTTGTATTATTAGTTTATTATTTTATAACCTATCCACGAGCTCACTCCATGCATCATAGAAATAATAATAGAACCAGTATGACAGTTGTAATTACCAGTAAATAACGAACAATGCATCTGCAAGTGTAATCTTCGGAGTGCATCTCTGCAAATCGTCTTAATTTGCATCACAAGGACTTCACCTCTGCTCCTGACTTAGAAGGCTTTCTATTCTTGGCAAATTTGCATTTTAAATGGCTTCGCATTTCTGAATAAACGTTCCATTTGGATATAGATATGAAATCCTGTTTCTCAGATCTAGAACAGGTTATTGTGCTTTGCCCGACCGAAACTTTTAATTGTGTCGCTGTGATTCGAACGAGGAACACCACGAAACGTTGACGATGCCGGTTCAAGTCCAGCCCAGTCGAATTTTTTTTCAAGTTATTTTCGATTTTTAAATTATATAGTGCCTTCATGTACAATAACATATGAAAAATATTATAGCTGTCAAACGTTTTCACTTCTATTAATTATTTCAAAATAATGCGCGATATATCTAAAAAATTAAGTTTGCCTGATAAACTGTATGTAGGAATAATAATAAAACATTTTTAACGGTTTAAACGCGAAATGTATTGTTATTATAGTATTGTATTATTTAATCATATAATATAACAGAAACTCAATATTTCAATGATAGTAATGCTTAGGGTTAGGGCCCCCTCTAACGATAAAAATGTAGTACCTATACGAAAAGGTGATTTTAAAACGATAGATCCATAATGTTTTCAAGTATAAATACTTAAAATATAATGGTTATAATCTTGCTATTAGCAAAAGGTACTCGCGTATAATATGTTCCATTAGTTAATAATGTATCGAAGGCTTCGCTGTTCCCCCGAAAACCATCTAAACACGATGATTAATTTACAAACTTAATTAGTAGCTGAAAAGTGGTTTAAATACACAGTGTCTATATTGTGATACATAAGAAATATAGATGAAAATAAATTTTAACTAATTATAGTGCGAAATAATTGCAGTCAATGTAATTTTTTTACATAGGACGCTTTACATTAAAATTAAACTAAACTAGACTATACTTTACAGCGTCCTATAGTCGGTGGTTAGTGATTAGGACGAAATTGTCGTATTCCTACCGCGTCTAATATCAAGTTTTTAGAATATAGATTGATTAAAAAATATGTTGGACCTGGTAGGAATCCAACTAACACCATTGGACCATGGGACCCGCAAGAATACTATGAGACATAAGATGGTTTACAATGAAAAGTATTTGATTTTTTGATATTATATATCTATAGCCTTAAACGACCAAGACGGGATTCGGTCCCCCCCCATGACCACGACTTCTGCAAAGCATCCTAAATGAAAATCCGTCATATAAATAGTTAAAAACATTTAAATAAAACACTTTAACGGTTAAATACGCGATATATTTCGTGTTTTAAAATGATTTTTAACTTCGGCCCGACGTTTCGGGTGCTTTCCCCCCCCCCCCCCCCCCCCCCCCGCCCCCCCCCCAAACCCCCCGCCCCGGGCCGAGTTAAAAATGCATTTTCAAATAAGTTTAACTAATATATCGCGTTTTAAACCGTTAAATTATTTTATTTAAATGTGTACTCTCGCAAACTATAACAATATTTAGGTTAAATAATATATTTCGTTTTTTAAACCGTTAAAAGTCATTCATTTAAATGTGTACTGCTCGCTTAAACTACAGACAATACTTCACCTACTAGCCTAGAAAAGGGAAGCGCGTAACAAACCGATAAGTGAGTTGCAACTCGAAGCTAGAATGTTTAACTTTTGGATGCAATTTGCGGTTCAAAGTTTTTTACATGATAATTAAGTGAGAAAGTTTCCGTGT